GTAAAGTCGAAAGTATCAATAGGCCTAAGCCCATTTTTGGTACTAAAACCAGTGGTTCCCCTAAATTAAAGGCTGTGAGCAAGCGTTCTTGGGTGTTCGTTTCTAGGTTGGATGCTAGTGTGACAAAAGACAGTATTGAGTGTTACTTATCAGAGAACAGTATCAAGGACCATGTTTGTACCGAATTAAATACAAGATATGACACTTACAAATCTTTTAAAGTTGGAGTTAATGACTCTGAGCTTGAAACTGTCCTAGATCCAAATTTTTGGGAAGCAGGAGTTTTAGTGAAAGAGTACATGCCAAGAAGACACTCAGCGAGAAACGCCTACAATACTAGGAACTTCGTGCCACGGAACTTGTCTGCAAATAAGGAGCCTTTAAACTTGAATGCTTATCATCAAGACTCGGGACCGTAGAACGAGAACAGTGTGAATCGTTTCAGAGTATTTTTAGTAGGCCTACAACTAACAGCTACGTAGCTAATACAAGTGGACAAATAGTAAAAGCTTTGTTCCTAAATGTTGAAGGTATTTCTGGTAAATCAAACTTTCTTAGCCTTATGACAAAACAACATGATTTAAGTATAATGTGTTTCAGTGAGCACTGGAAGAAGGATGACGCCATACAGTACGAGGTGATTGATGGATTTTTGCTGGCTGCAAGTTATTGTAGGAAAGAACATGTCAAAGGTGGTGTAGCTGTGTATCTCAGGGATAACCTATCTTACGAAGAAATAAATTTAAATTGGCTCTGTGAAGAATTGACATTTGAAGTAGCGGTGGTCAAACTTTTAAGTTTAAAGATAATAGTAGTTAGCCTATATCGATCGCCTCAAGGAGACCCTAACCTCTTTTTGGATAAACTAGAAGTACTTTTAAACTGTCTATCGAATTTTAAGTGTGAAGTTTACATTGGCGGTGACTATAATGCACATTTTGACGTCACAACAGAACGCCCTACTGTTATTAAATTTAAAAATCTGTTAAAGGAATTTGGAATGACATATATTAACACTCTTCCAACTCGAGAAGATGCGTGTCTAGACAATGTCATAACAACCCACCGAACTCAAGATTACAATATGGATGTAGTAAATTGTTTTTTCTCTGACCATTCGGGTATTACTGTGACCCTAAACGTGGAACGACGTGCAGATACGCCCAACTCCAAAGTTTCCTATGGAAGAAATTTATCTAAAAAAAGACTCGATGTTTTGAGACAACACTTGTTTATGGTTGATTGGATGCAAATTCTCCATGGAGAGGAAGAAGCTGATTCCGCTTTTAATAAGTTTTTTAAGGTTTTTTATGGTATTTTTGATGAAGTGTGTCCTCGTAAACCTTTGAGAAAACCTACTATTAACCGAAACGTGCCTAAATTGAACTGGTATACACCTCAGCTGGAACATCTAAAAAATACCATGATGGCCTTCAGAACTATGTTCCTTGTTCAGCGAAGCAACTTAACCGAACTGGCATATAAGAAAAGCAAGCAAGTTTACAAGGAGGCGGTTAATAAAGCTAAACTTAATTACAATGCTGAATACATAGAATCGTCTGACAACAAGTCAAAGGCTGCTTGGACACTTGTAAATAATCTAAGAAGCAAGAGCGTCAAGTCACCAGAGATCCAGATTCCCCCAGAGGAGTTTAACTCGTACTACCTTTCAGCTGTTCAGGAGGCCAGAGACAGCATCATTCAACCCCAGACTACGGCGCTTGACTTCATGGAAAATTCACCTTTGCCTGAAGAAAACTTCAAATGGGAGGAAGTGTCATGTGCAAATGTGCTCAGTGTCGTGAAAAAAATGAAAAAATCTAAAAGTAAAGATATCTTTGATCTTTCTAATCATCTAGTGAAATGTGTAATCGAGTCTATTTTGCTTCCTCTAACCTTTTGTATTAATTTGTGTCTTAAACAGGGTATTTTTCCCTCTAAGCTTAAAATATCAAGAGTGGTCCCCCTGTATAAAAAAGTGGTGAAAAATCTGTGCCAAAGAGTTACCGACCGATTTCTATAGTACCAGTTTTAGGCAAGGTTGTTGAACAAGTTGTAAAACTCCAGGTATGTACCTACTTTAATCAGCTGAGCCTAATTAGTGCTTCACAATTTGGCTATCAAATGGGTAAGAGCACTACGAGTGCAGTTCTATCAATTGTTGATGATTTAATCAGTTGTTTTGAGGATCGAAGCCTTGCTCAGATCACTGCCTGCGACCTGAGCAAGGCATTTGATTGTGTCGACCATTTAATTCTTTGTCAAAAGCTACAGTGTCTGGGTTTTCATGGCGTTCAGCTTGATTTCTTTAAGTCGTACCTGGAAGGTAGATTCCAAATTATAGATGTTGCTGGTAAAAAGTCATCTGCTTCTCATGTCAAATTTGGTGTACCACAAGGTTCTGTGTTAGGGCCTATTTTATTCCTTGTCATGGTAAATTATCTGCCGTCTACTATTAAGTCATCGAAAACCATCATGTTTGCTGACGACGATTTGCCAACTGTGAATGGTATTGCTGATGAAACTCTTAATCAGGCTGTTACATGGTTCAGAGCTAATGGTTTTAAACTTAATGAATCAAAAACACAAAAGGCAATATACTCCTTAAATAGTAGACTAGCTTATTCAGATGAATTTGTTAAGTGCATTAAGTTACTAGGGGTGCAAATAGATTGTAACTTAACTTGGAATAGCCAAATAGATTTAGTTTGCAGTAAATTGTCAAAAGTTGTATATTTGTTAAAAACTTTAAAATTTTACGTTCCTGTTACTTATTTATTGTCTGTTTATTATGCTTTGTTTCATTCTTTGTTAGACTATGGTATTATTTTATGGGGAAACTCTGGCAGGATAACTGATGTTTTGTTGTTGCAAAAGAAAGCTATTAGGATAGTAACAAACTCAAAGAAAAAAGCTCACTGTAAACCTCTTTTTACTGAAACTGGTGTTATGACTGTTATCTGTTTGTACATTTTTAGGTTATTGTTATTTATAAAATCAAATGAATCAAGTCTTGTTTTTAATAATGACATCCATTCCTATAACACTAGAAGTAGTAGAAATGTTCATATTGATCAAGCTATGTTAGCTAAAACTTTAAGAAGCCATTCATGTGTAGGTGTTAGACTTTTTAACCATTTGCCTTTAGATATAAGATGTTTGCCTTTTCCTAGTTTTAAAAAAGCCATTCACCTTTTGCTAGTCAACAATCCTTCCTACTGTATTAAGGAGTATTATGAAAGATGTTTGAATCTGTGATACTGTTAATCGTTTTTGTAGGTAGCTGTGTTATTGTTATTCATATAGGCTAAATCTGTGATATTTAATTTTATTATTTTAATAATTGTACTTGACAAGGTCGTATGCACTGTAAATTTTGTGTTCTTAGACCAATAAATCTCTTGACTCTTGACCCTTGACTCTTGGTTACATTTGGGGGTGCCTATATCAGCGCCCCCAAACGTGAAAATATCACTTTTATTTAAACTATGAATATATTGTTGTTTAAATTAACTAATATGGGAAATTACGATGTACATTTATTCAATGAGGGTGGGTAATTATCAAGGATAGAACTGCTAACGGTATGGATAATAAACATTGACAATTACGTCATTAGCTTTACTAGCGTGTTTACTTTTTATATTCCTGCTACATGTGACCAGTTCTTTTTTTCAAATGAATGTTATTTGAACCAACATGCTGTTTCAAAACAAATTGTTATTGTTTTGACTTTTCTTTGTTTAGATTTATTTATTTAGTAATTAATGCAGTGAAATTCATATAAAGGATAGGTGTGACGATTAGTTTTGATGTTAGGACACCAAAAATAAATTATGTGTACTGTGAATTTTATTGGATATTATCGTTTTATTTTAGGTCGTTTCGATTCAGACCTACTGGAAATTGTGTATAGTAAGTTAGTTGTATTGTGGTGATAATAATTATGGAAGAGGCAGGTATGCTATGGAAGGTAGTATCGTTGACTAGGTCTATACACTTCTCAATTGACTATTACCTTTGACTATTGGATACAGAAGTTGTATAAGATAAAGAAGTGTTGTATTAATAGTCAAAGCTATTACTCTCTCTACTGTATGCTACTTATAATCAGTGTGCGTCTGTGCGAATCGGCTGCAAATCTCACTTCAACGCTTTCACATCGTAAAAATTGCAGAATTGCTGTTTTATTGTAAAATTATCAGATTTAAAATGCATAAAACATATTTGGTCGCACAACATTTGTTTAAAGATGATTTTTCACATTAAAACTGCAAGAAACTTTGTCTTTTTTAAACTAGCTGATCTGAATAAATTGTACACGGTTTTAACTGACTACTGAATTCCCGTACGTAGGACGGGCTAACACCTTGTTCTATTTAAATAGGAAATAAATGTGCTATTTTTATGGAGGCATTTTAGTGTAAATCCAATCAGGTTAATGGAAATTTGCTTAGTCTGCAGGTTTGCTGCGGCGGGGGTATTTAATACTACCATCATGTAGAGCTTAAAAAAAATTTTGTATAGCGTTTTTGTAAAATTAAATGTTACATAGAAAATACCAAAAACCTGTACATTTAAGATTCCTATGTTATTCTTATGGGGAAAAGAAAAGACAGTGGTCGATTGGGCCAGAAGATGTTATCATTTTAGAGCCTTCTTGTGCAGTAGCAGCATTAAGTGCAGTAGTGCAGTGCAGTAGGTCTCCATGCTCTTACACCACCAAACCATAATTAATGTCTATGGAATAGCAATTGATACATGACTCACAGGTAAGGAAAAGTGATCTCATGTTTTAGCTTCCTGATTAGAAATAGTATTCTGCTTAGTCGTCATTGCAAGGTGGGCTTATTATTTGGAGTAACATACCCAGATCTAGACAGATGTTTTAGATTAATGTTCTTTTTGGTGTTATTCTGGCTTAAATCATTTGATCGTATGCCTCTAGGCCTAAATCATCTTTTCAAGATTTAAGTAGGCTATATTTATTTATGTTTCAGGATCATACTTGTGAGCACTTTGGATGGCAAAATCTCAGCTCTGAACATGAATGATGGAGGTTTGGAAACGTGGAGTGTTACTACAGGCCCTGGAGCTATGTTGTCGTCCAGCATTCACAGACTAGAAGTAATATTTGATACTCAAGCTATGAAAAAGTATTTTTAACCGACTTCCCCACTACCAACAAAAGGAGGAGGTTCTCAATTTGTTTGTGGCGATGTTTTTTTTTTTTTTCTATGTATGTTCACCAATTTCTCTGTGATTCTTACCGATCAGCTTGGTTCCACCACCAAAATAACCGGGAGAGTTTCTATTTGGTCCCATATATATATATTACTAGCAGAGTACCTGTCCTTCGTACGGGGTTGGCATATAAGTATCAAATGCTTATAGCAGTTATGAGTGAGGACATGGTTTAAGAAATTTCGGTTCTTTTTGAAGTTCGTTCGCTACGCTCACTTACCTTTAGGTTGGAGCTCGTTCGCTGCGCTCACTTTCCTTCAGGTTAGCTCGTTCGCTACGCTCACTTGCCTTCAGGTTAGCTCGTTCGCTACGCTCACTCGCCTCCAGGTTGAAGTTCGTTCGCTACGCTCACTCACCTTTTGGTTGCAAATTAGCTGTTGTCATAAATGTAAAAGAAATAATGCTAGTGCTGCACCCTGTTGGTAATCCTTGTAACTTTAATGCTATTGAAAATCATAGAACAGAACCAACTTGTTTAATTGAAACAGCTGTTAAGATTCATTAATTCCATTTCTCATAAGGTTAACATGGGAACCTTTGCTCCAGAGCCACTGGGGCGGAGCCCGGAAGGATTTTTGGGATAAAAATATGCCTATATGTTAATCGGGAATATGAGCTATCATCATGCCGAATTTCAGCCCGATCCGACCAGTAGTTTTCGCGTTTACTTTTCCCATACACACAGACACCACCTCTTTTTTATAATAGTATAGATGTTTAAGTGTAATATTTCTTTCCGTGAAAAATGCTAAAAACCACAAATATTCAACATTTATTTTGTTTATATTTGTTCAGAGAAGGCAATAAATAATAATATCCCTACAGCTCTTAGTTGAAACCATTTAAATGAAGCTACAGACAATTCTCCATGAAACAGTTGCTTCATATCAAAACTATTTCTCGCCATGGAGCCTAAATAAATTACATTGAAAAAATGCATTTTGTTTTGGTTACTATAAAAAAAAGTATTTTAACGTTTGACCTGATTTGTGTATACAGTAATTCTGTTTTTAGTATTGAATATTCTGACTTATAAAAACAGTTTCAGTAAAAACATGTTTCAGTGAATAGCTGAAACATATAAGCAAAGAAAAAACCAAAGCATTCATAAAAGATATAAATTAAATGACATTTTTCCTTACACGACCTAAGAAGTGTGAGAGTGCATAATCGTCAATCGTCTTAAAAGTGTTAAATATTTTAATTACTAAACATGCATTTGCAGATGTAGAATGCTTATTAACATTCTCTACCCAGTTACTATATCATATCAATACTATTATGCCTGCTTCGGAAAGTCCTAGAGTAAGATGATTTGCAATTTCAACTAGGCTATATCTTGAGCAATCAAAACCACCTACCCGGCTTAGACCACTTTTAACTGAACCAATCTTTCATATACATATTTTCCAAAGGTACTATACGTGATAACAACCAATTTTCTACTTTTGAGAGATTTTTTAGTGCTGGTAGCTGAGGAATAGCTTTCATATTGTTCCAAAAGGCTTGAGACGTGACTGTATTTCTTTTTATAATGTAGAAGTACACCGATTGCAGGAAACTATGATGTCTGACATTTCAATGTCTGTAGATAAGACATTTAGTTTTTCATTGGGCCTAATGTAATGGACAACTCTTTTTTTTTTAGGAATATCTAAAAATGTATACCCATTGATTATGTAACCTGAACAGGTGACTCAAGCAGTTTTAAAATAATGATTGTTATGTGTCACTTTTGATTGTTTCAAACAGTTTTGCTTATCAAAAAACCTCAAGTAATTAATATATAACAAATTATAAATTCACTAAAAATCATGAAATAATTTATTTTTGAAAAAAAATACAACCAACTTCAAACGCTCTAAAAAGAATGAAATAATTTCAATAAAGTAAACTTTTGTATTGGTCAAGCTCTTGTATTTCAAGTCGGCGCAGCTTTAACTGCAAATATGATTGAAATAAAATATTGTGAGTGTATTTTGAAAATCAATAAACTGTAACTGGATAACATAAATATTTAAAATACCCCCGCTGCAGCAAACCTGCCGACTTAGCGATTTTCCATTTGCCGGGATTGATTTTTAATTATTAATCTATTAAATTAACATTTATGTTTAACGAGTACCTAGATTAGCTGCTACAGGGAAACTAATAAAGTGTTTTTTTTATTAAAATATCAATAGCTTAGTATGAAATAAATGTAAATGCCAAGTTTGATCAAAATGTATCCATAAACAAGCCAACTACAACATATTAAAATATTCTCCATAAGAATAACATGGGAATTTTAAAACAACAATTTTTTTGAATTTTCTCCGTAACCAATTTTTGTACAAAAATGCTTTAATATACTAAATTATTTGTTTTTTTAAGCTTTTTAAAAAGGTCTGGAGAATATTGATAAATTGTGTGTTTTAGGGGTAAAAAATGAGAAAAACCCATTTTTACACCGTAAAACCCCGTTCCTATGGTCCGGTCATGCTGGTTCGCGAACTCATTCAAGTTTATCCCGCCTTACACCTTAAAACCAAATTTTATCAAAATCGGACAGAAATTACTCAAGTTATCGGATGGACACATATATATATATATACTAGAAGTCATACCCGTCCTCCGTACAGGGGTTGGCATTTAATTATAAAATGGTTATTCCAGTTATACTCAAGCTTTGCGTTTGCAATGGGGGGGGGGGGGGGGGGGGACAAAGTTTGATAAAATTTGCTCCTTTAAATTTACAGTAAGTTATACTATAGTATGACACATCTACAATAGTCACAATGTTCTACCACTTCACCTAAACAATAGAGAAAAACAAATTATAAATTGCTATATATCACTAACTATTTATGAAATAAAAAAATAAACATAACTGTAAACAATCCTACTTTGACAGTTCTCATTGCTTATCACAGTCTTTTGCTGCTGCTCAGTTCAAATTAGCTGTTTTCATAAATGCAAAAAAATAATAGTGCTGCACCCTGATGGTAAGTATTATAACTTTTTAATGCTTTTGCAAATCATAGAACCAACTTTTTCAGTCGAAACAGCTGTCTTTAATTCCCTTTAAATGTGAATACTCATAAGGTTAACATGGGGAACTACAGAGCCATTGGGGCGGAGCCCGAAAGGATTTTTGAGATAAGAATACGCCTATATGTTAATCGGGAATGTGAGCTATCATCATGCCAAATTTCAGCCCGATCTGTCCAGTGGTTAATGCGTGATTGAACTTCAAACAAACAAACAAACAAACAAACCAACAAACAAATAAACAAACAAAAACACAAACTTTCTCATTTATAATATTAGTGAGATCTCTATACAATAGATATATAATAAACGGTATCAGCATTATGACACATACTTTCTCCCATAAGTTTGTCAACAACCTTTATCATGTGTAAGCGGTGAGAGTAAATATACGGAAATGGGATTTGTACAATTTTGTTCAGAATTTAAAGGACTATAACATACCAAATTTTTATCAAAATTGTTCGAGCCAATTTTGGGAAAATCCGATTTTCCCGTTATTTTATGGGGTTTTTATGGGGAAATAACATAATTTACAATAACTTTTGAACCGTAATTTTTACAGGAAAGGGATTTGTACCATTTTGTTCGAAATTAAAAGGACTATGTCATACTAAATTTTTATCAAAATCGTTCAGGCCATTTTTGGGAAAATCCTATTTTTCCGTTATTTTATGGGGTTTTATGGGAAAATCCCCATCTAAAATCAAAATTCCAAAAAAATAAAAAAAAACTATCAAAATTGTAAGGACCATAACCTACTATGTTCAATCAAAACTGAATTTTTGTCTAAAATCCTATTTTTCGTTATTTTATGGGGTTTTATTGGAAAATAACATAATTTACCATAACTTTTGAATCGTAATTTTTACAGAAATGGGATTTGTACCATTTTGTTCAGAATTTAAAGGGCTACAACATAATACATTTTTATCAAAATCGTTCAGGCCATTTTTGAGAAAATCTGATTTTTCCGGTTTTTTATGGGTTTTTATGGGAAAATCCCCATTAAAAATCAAAATTTCAAAAAAATGAATAAAACGCCTGGAGATACCATGGATTAGAACCTACAAACCAAATTTCATCGAAATCGGACCACAGGTGTAGTCTCTAGCTCTGTACACATCCAGACACACACACACACAGACATCATTTCGAAAACCACTTTTTTGGGTCCAGGGGGACCCAAAACGAATATATCCACTCAAAACTCAAACTCGAAAATTTTGACGAAAACAATACTTTCTCCATATACTATGGTATAGGGGGAGAAAGTAAAAATTTGAACGAATGGTGTTTTTGGCCTCTGGGGACATCAAAATGAATAAGTAAATCGGTCCCGGGCCTAGGTCTTACCATGAGACCTACGGTAATAGCTACTTCCCTATAGGGAAATTCGCTAAAAACATACTGAACTGTTTTGTTTATATATCAAAGGTATTTTCTTGTATTTTATGTTTGCTTCAGAATGAATGCATTATGAAAATAACACACACAAATGTTCTATGAATAGGAAAATAATTTATTTTGATATTATGATAGGGAAAAGAGCTAGTTTAATATTAAACGTTACTTTTCCAAGTTAGAAACATTTAAATGCATTATAATCTTTTTAAATATACTAGTTAATATCACTATAATGCCGATCTTTGGTTACGGTAATTAATTAACACCCAACGCATAACTATGAAAAAGGCATGCAGATTAACACCTTTAGCTATAGATAGTCACCTGTAATATGGACATCCTCATTTAATTTTGTATCAAAAATCATCGTAGAGCCGCGCCGACTTAAAATACATGAGCTTGACCAATACAAAAGTTTACTTTATTGAAATTATTTCTTTTTAGAGCGTTTGAAGTCAGTTGTATTTTTTTACAAAAATAAATTATTTATATTTAATCTAAAGATTCAGTTTATTGATGAAATTATCTCTGATTTTTCCAATATAACAAAAGCTATACTTTTTCAGCTTACTAACAATGGGCAGTGGGTTAGGATGATCCCTTCTCTTAGCGGAGGACTGTACAAGTTCAACGGTGACTACATAGAAGCCATCCCAATTACAGCAGAAAATCTCTTGAGGTCATCATTCAAATACTCTGATGATCTAGTAATTTCAGGTTAGTTGTTTACTAATTTGTTGTTATGACATATTTTTGATCTCTCCGTATACATAGTTAGGCTTATATGGAGAAAATAATTAAAAATATTGTTTTTGTAAAAATTTTTGAGTGAGTTATTTTGGGTCCCCCTGAACCCAAAAAGTGGTGTTTGAAGTGATGTGTCCATGTGTGTGTTATATGTGTGTGTGGATGTGTACAGAGCTACAGACTACACCTAGCCTATTGTTCGATTTTGATGAAATTTGGTAACCTATGTGGGTAGTCTACTAATCTCTCGTATCTCCAGGTGTTTTTTTAAATTTTAATTTTGAATAATTTTTACATAAAAACCGATAAAAATATAATACTCAAATTTCCAAAACAATTGTAACCCAGTAACCTTGTCATGAAAATCAGGGTCTACCTTGCATGAAATGGGGTAGGCCTAGTAGGTTTATTTTTTTTAATGTTGTTTGTAATAGCCTAGTATCGAGATGCTAAATCCAAATTTTCAACCTCACCGACCTTCCGGATCATCTCCCAAAAGCTTTAAAATCGGCAGAATTTCTCACTATTTTACGTTTGTCCGATTTTGACCCTGAAGCATAACTTTTTCATAAAGAACAACCATGATGATTTTTAAAGTACATTAAATTACCTATCATGTAGACCAAAATGGTTATCACAGGCCTAATAGTTTTCAAGATATAACTCAGCAAACAACAGCTAAAATTACAGTAGACTCCCAAATATCCGAGGTAATTGGGACCGGGACCACCTCGAATACGGGAAAACTCGGATAATACGGAGGCTATGTACGGTTATGGTAAAAATGACGTAAAACCCCGTGAAAGTTTACTAAACTGGTTTATTAGAAGAAATAACATATAATAGACGAAATATAATACCTGTAAGCAAACATGAGCACATATTATTTCTTAAAAAAGTCTTTGATCGTCTTCTGAGCTAACCTCTTCCCTCGTTTGGATGATGCAATGTTGCGCCAACGCTGTAGAGTAAGAATGTCAGAAGAAGAGTATGAATGGGGCGAGGTGGTGGTGTAATAATCCTAACCCACAAAAATATAAATCACAAATGTATTGATTTACCTTCTACTCAACCACTTTTAATGGAAAAAGAGTTTGAATATTGTTTGTCTGAGATCAGAACTCACAACTTTACTTTTTTGTTTGGATGTATTTATAGGTCTCCTAACTACTTGAACTTGGACCAATTTTTTGATAATCTGGAAACTCTCTTAAACATACTGTGTAAAAAATTTAAAAAAATTATAATTGCTGGTGACTTTAACATAGATGTTTTGAAGAAAGATGATAAATACAATAAATTTATTAATATTTTAACAATATATGGAATGAGACATACAGTTGACTTTCCAACCCGAGTAACAGAACATTCAAAAACTGCAATTGACAATTTTATTACAAATATAGATCTTCACAATTTACAAGTAACCGGGTTAATTACGCACATCTCAGACCATGATGGTCAATTGATGAAACTGAGAATCACTGACCACAAAAAGCCAAAGCCAATAAGAAAACAAGTGAGAAAATTTAATGAAAAAAATACAGAACTTTTTCTTAGAGGTATAAGTTCTGAGTCCTGGTCTCAGATTTTCCAGTCTATTGTTGAGATGAAGTATAATGTATTTTGTAACATATTTAAGTATCATTTTGAGGTAAATTATCCTAAACTTTATGTAACAGAAAATTTTTGTAAACCAAAGAAGTGGATTAATGATGTAATAAAATTAAAACAATCTGAAATAGTTGATTTGGAATCTCAATTCAGAATGCTTAAAGACAATAACATTAAGATACAGATTAAGGAAAAGAAAAAAGAACTACAGAGAGAGATTATCAACAATAAAAAAACATACTTTGAGGAAAAAATTATGAACTCTAGAAATAAGGTGAAAACTACCTGGAACTTAATTAACACTGAAGTAGGTAAATTATCAAAGTCAAATGTAAACATAAAATTGTTTTATGAAGGTAAATTTTTGACAGATCCTGTAAATATTTGTGAAACTTTTAATGAATTTTTTGTCAATGCTGTAGAAAGTCTTATAGTTCCTAGAATTACCACAGTGTCTCCTGCAAACAATCATTTTATGACTCAGTTTAATACAACATTTAAATTTGTTACAGTTTCGGAGAGAGATATAAAAAAAACTGTATTATCATTTGAAAATAAACCTTCATCAGGTAATGATGAAATTCCGATATCAATCATCAAGGCAGCATTGCCATTCATCTGTACACCTTTAACACACATAGTCAATCAATCTCTATCTACAGGTGTATTCCCTGAACAATTCAAAACTGCCAGGGTGATCCCAATCTTCAAAAAAGGCGATCCAGAAGATGTCAAATGCTATAGGCCTGTATCACTCCTTCCAGTTTTTTCTAAAATTCTTGAGAAAGTTGTCTTTGATCAACTGTCAAATTATCTTGAATCAAACATGTTATTGGATTTTTTTCCTTTTCAATGAGCAGCGACGTTAACTTCAATGAGCCAGAAGCATTAGCTGTAGCCAGTATTGTAACCTTTTCTGTTATGAACATATGTAGTTGTTACCCAGGACCGGATTTCCCAATAGGCCCGGTAGGCCCGGGCCTATGGGCGCAAGGTCCCAGAGGGCGCACGGCCAGGAGAAATTTTTTTATACCTAGGCTATGTAAAAATAGCCGGTAGTTGATCAAAAAACGCCAAAGCATTGTGATTCTGAAGTTCATAAGAAGAAATAATTATTAGGAAATTTAAACTAGTTTAAATTAACGAACATTGGTTATATGGGATTAGGCTGTAGGGATGTTGACGTTGACGAGCGCCCAAGGGGTACGCATCGTATTGCCACTGCACTGCCACTATGTTGGCTAGGGATCAGAGTGATTAAGGGCGCACGCGTGATAGACATTGTTACCATCCTAGAAGAAATATAACCTAGATGCAAGTACGACCATAGATTAAATATAACTCAAGTCGACTTCTTATGACATTGTTAATTCAACATTTTGTTCATGTTGGTGACACTGGACGTGAGTTTTGACGTAATTTTGTTTCTATTATTTGAGGGTTAGTTCTATGATGTGTGTTTTAATTTCTTGTAATATAAAAAGGAGACGACCTATTGTTGATGATTAGATCGTTTTATTTTGGATAAACTAGGTTTAAACATAGATAAATCATACTCATTAAATAACAAGAATTGTTTAAGCTAATCCAAAATGATGACAAATCTACTAAAGGAGTATGTTTAACCCATGGTCTCACGTACTGTATGGAGTTCATGTTTTTGGGCCTGGAATTGGAATCAATGGCCATGTTTTTTTTTTAGGAATGCTCGGTGGGTTGAGTTGTTTTGTTTCAGTCGCACGGCCACAAACGTGAGCATTTATTAAAAACATAAAATTGCTAAAAGTATTTAAGACGGCATTTTGTTAAGCCCAAACAAGTCAATTCTTAAAAATAAAAACTTGCAATGATTCCAACGAGGAGTGGTATTCAAGCAATTAACTTAAGCCTATGGGCATGATGTTATAGTTTTTAATAAAGGTTTGAAGGAAAGTAACTGTGACCAGCAGCCTAGGGGGCGGAAAATTATTTGGGCCTAGGGGCGCAAAAATGCTAAATCCGGCCCTGTTGTTACCATAGCAACCAAAATGTTAATTATAAAATGCTGTTTACTATTCTATTCTGATCTTTAATATAACACAGTTACTTCTATTTCAACACTCTGTCTTTTTATATTCTAATATTTCCACTCGAAAGTCATCTCAGTTGGCGACGATTTGATAAAAAACTACTATCAATTCTTGTTTTATTCTATTATTTTCAAGATATTTTATTTTGTTAAACATTTCAACTTAAAATGAATGAAGAACAATTTGAAAGACTCATGAATGTTTTGGCTGCAGCTCTAGGTAATCAAATTTCAACTCCTCAGATCAATCCTTTTGAACATTTTGATCCAAATAATGATAAATTCAAATCATATTTCGCTGAAAATTATTGCAATTTACTTACTTACTTACTTACTGCTGGGGCGCTACAAATCGCAGTCGATTCTTCGCCTCGTAGATCAGCCTCTTCCACGCTTCTCTGTCCGCTGCCATCTCCACTGTCCCTCCACACTGACTCACATCTCTCTTAACTTGGTCATACCATCTCATTTTTGGTCTACCCAGTGGACGCTTTCCAGTTGGTACAGCAGAACATACTTCCTTCAGTCTTGTTCCTTCTTCCCTTTGCAATACATGACCTAGCCAACCTAATCTTTTTGCCTTTATCAAAGCTATTATATCAGGGTCCTGGTATAACGCTCGTAGCTCTTTGTTTTTTCTAATCCGCCATTCTCCTTCTTCGTTTACTGGGCCAAATATTTTTCTTAGGACCTTGTTTTCAAAAACAATCAAGCGTCCTTCATTTCTCTTGGATATGACCCAGGTCTCGCTTCCATACAATAATACTGGTTGAATAATGGTTTTATATATTCTTATTTTTGTATCAGGTGATAGGAGTTTTGATGACAGGAGCTTCATACATGCACCTAAACATTTATTGGCATTTGCTAATTTACTTAATATTTCTGTATCTTCTATGTTAAAGCTATTTACAGTAACTCCTAAGTATTTAAAGCTTTCTACTGGTTCAATTAAGTAGTTGGCTATATTGAAATTGGTTCCTCTATTGATGGGATGTCGTCCAAACTTTATTATTTTGGTTTTTTCCTCATTTAGTTCCAAACCCACTTTTTTACATTCTTGAATAAACTTGTCGGCTAGAAAACACAAATCCTCCGACTTTTCAGCCAATATCACCACATCATCTGCAAAGGCCATGACATTTAAGTCTACACCCAATTTTAGGCCCCTCTTTAGATTTTTTACTTTTTGTAGAGCTTCTTCAATCGCTATGTTGAAAAGAAAAAGAGTGGGGGAAATCCCGTCCCCTTGTCTCACTCCTGTATTTATACTAAAGCTCTCCGACAT